CACCGTACAACCCGCCACAAACTAAAGTTTCATCCCAATCATCTGGACGAGTGGCGGTCTTCCACCGTGCGTTTTTCAAGGCACTTTCTTCCACGCACAACCATTCTTTGGAATCAACTTCCAGCAGCAGTATTTCCGAACCGATACGACAACATAACCTTCAAGAAAAGAGTATATTCCTTTTTAAAAGGCCGGCAGCACACCTGCAATGCCGCTGGTGATCATGGGCGGCGGTAGTCACTTACCATCAGGTGAGCCGCATGCTCGTTTGCCCCCTGTGTTGTAAAAAAAAAAAAAAAAAAGTGCAGTTTTTCCGGTAGTTGCCACGCTTGGCGGGCAGGTTTAAAGCCGCAGTAAGGTTTTTAGTGATGTTTTAAGAGAGACTCTGCTGCCCATTCCTCGACCATAAAGTTTCCTTAGTCACCTCTTACTTCACAGACGAAAAAGGAAGGGGTGACCCATTCTATGCCGTGGCCACTCAGCATTATAGTATAATGACACAATTATATAATGTGGACAATAAGTGGGTAGAAGAAAATAGTTATGTCTCGAAAGCGGATATCTGACAACGACAAATCAGTCTGTTCGTGAACACGGACGATGTAACGTGGTCGAAACATCAAGATAATTCAGGTAAATAATCATAGTTTACCTAAATAATCGCATTAATATCGCGAGATAGAAAATCTCTCATAAAACATAAAAAATAAAAGTTTAATGGAACACAATAAATTTAATTGCTAAATTAGCAAATATACTGCTCATTATAATATAAACGGTCATGAACGATGTGTCAATAATATTTGAAAGTATTCCAAATTTTAAATCTATGGCATTAGTAGTTGCTAAGTAGTAATAATATTAGTTACGATTATACCCTTTGTACCTTTAATACAGAATTCTAAAAATCTAAATGTTCTAGAAACCTATCTATCACAAAAGCTAATTACGCAGCTGTTTTAAAGATTTGTAGTTTTCAACCAACTTTGAGAAAACGGATTCATAAATTCATCAGTTTTATGTTAACGTGGAATTCTATTTTCAAAAAATTAAAGGCATCTTTTAATTTTTAAATCAAATAGCTTATTTCGTCACAATCGAACTCTTTTTTTTATCTAATACAATCTTAAAGATTACATAATTGTCATTTAAAAGTGTTAATATATCTTATTATATGTACTATGGAAGACCGCAGTTCGTATAATAGGTTTAGTAGAACTGTACGTATATAATGTTACATACCTGTGGTAGTTGGGATATCAAACGGTGCTAAATATACCTATGTGTATGTGGATATATTGCTTCCAGAAGTTGTCTTTCCAGCTTTAAGGCTAAGGGTTGGCTGGGGCAAGTTAATCCGATAAGATTAAGTGGAGTACAATCTGCTATGGAGGTCACTGCTTGATAGGTGAGGCTTCTTTGGAAACTAAGTAGTTTAACATTTTCTAGTTACCTAAGAACTAAACGTAATGTAAACACGACTTATTTTTAATAAAATAAACAAATTTAAAATATAATTAATGAATTATTAACAATTATTATTTATATTTATTGCATTATTTCTATTAAATATGGAAAATTTAATTACTGTTACTAAATACTATGACGTGGCCTTTTTCATTTTTAACCATAATGCAATTTTACTTTTTTTTTTACTCCGAATTTTATAGCATTTTACGACCGCTATATTCACTTTTAATGTATATTACTCGTACATATTCTATGATACGCAGGCTGCTATATCCAATCTTTCGCTACATCAGTTATTAAAATCCATCCAACCATTTTCAAGATATGAGGTAATAAAGAAACGAACAATCATGCATCAATGAACACTGAAAAATTACATTTCTTACGACCTTGGTAATATAATGCTTTAATACAGCGCTTCGCCTTCCGAAGGTCATGGGTTCGATCCTCGTACAGTAAAAATAACTTGATTCGTAAATATAACTGTTTATATTAATTTGGAAGTTTTCTATGTATAATATGTGGTAGTTTTTTTTTTTTTTTAATTACTATCAATTGTCTTAGTACCAATATTACAAGCTCTACTTATTTTGGAACTAGGTGGCGCTGTATATGTTCATAATGTGTCCTATTATTACATTTAGAGCAACCATCAATAATAAACTTTTATAACCCACCGACCATCTACTATATTACTATAGTATAAAACACAGACAAACGTAAACAAGTGCTTTTACCCTACCCTAAAAACCAATAAAATAACACATTAGAATACATTAATATTATAATAGAATATGAAATCGGAGCCCACATGTACCGGCTAACCGATCGATCAACGGCCAACATGCCCCAGAAAGGCGAATGGAAAGGGCGCGGTACCTCGTAATCTAAGCCTGCTCCTACCGTAATAATCATATATCTTCACGGTTATTCCCTTGGGAGGTTACGGCATGAATGCATGAATGTTGACGGCGGGGCTTGTTTCGTCTCGTACACCAATAAACGATACGGCACCGGTGTTGCGTTTTGAAATAATACGACTCTTAGCGTCTGCTATGATTTGAGTATGAAGTTTTTAATTTGTTCTAGTTTATACCTAGTTATTTGTTCTTACATAAAAATAATGCGACTATTAGCGTCTACTATAATATATAAAAATAATACCACTATTAGTGGATATACCACTTATTGTATTTATATAGAAATAATACGACTATTAGCATCTGCTATGATTTGAGTACGAAGTTTTCTATTTATTCTGATTTATATTTTACTTATGTAGATATAATACGACTATTAGCGTCTGCTACGATTTGAATATGAAGTTTTTCTTTATTCTAATTTATGCCTATTTTTTTATACTTATATAAATATAATGCGACTGTTAGCGTCTTCTATGATTTGAGTATGAAGTTTTCTATTTATTCTAGTTTATACCTAGTTATTTGTACTTATATAAAAATAATACGACTGGTAGTGTTTGCTATAATTTGAGTATGAAGTTTTCTATTTATTCTGGTTTATTCTTACTTATTTGTACTTATGTAGAAATAATACGACACTTAACGTCTGCTAAGATTTGAGTATGAAGTTTTCTATTTATTCTAATTTATACCTAGTTATTTGTACTTATATAAAAATAATGCGACTGTTAGCGTCTGCTATGATTTGAGTATGAAGTTTTCAATTTATACTAGTTTATGCCTACTTATTTGTATTTATGTAGAAATAATACAACTCTTAGCGTCTGTTACACACACACAAAGTTAGTTCTACATTGTACGTGTTATGATTTGTAATTCTATATGGATACGTACGTGTAATTGTTTATCTACAACAGTTTTCAATTTTTTACCGCATAATAAAATTTTTGTTTTGCTAAAGGTTGATTTTGGGAGAAAATGCTATATAGCATTCAGTCCGCCTTTTATAACAGACATTTTTTGTAATGTCATCAATAAAGAATAAATAATCATATTTAAAGAGAGAGAGTAATATTTATATAATTATTAATTTATGTATGTCTCATAAAATTCGTCGTTTATAAAAATTCATCAATATTTTAATATCATTTGTCACTTAACATTAGCAACCCCATTGCTAGCAATATACTCTATTAGGTCGACCTGTTCGCTGTTCCCACTGGAAATTATCGTAACTGATTTTTTCTTGAATTCATCACGATGAGCCAAGCTAGCCTGCTTCATCCTCACCTATCATCCCTCACTGGTGCCCCGTTAGTGTATACCGATAGCGCAAGCGGGGCTACCATTCCATTATAATTTATTAAAAAAAAAACCTTGGCACGATATTAAAATAGCTATAAAATGTATTTATAACGTACGCCACGTGCTTTAAGTTGTGTTAAAAGTAACATCTGGTGGCTTTAAACTTTTTCGATATTAATGTATCCGGAATAAAAAAAAAATGAGGCTAAAAATAAAACGTAATTCTAAAAACCTATTTCGATATACATTTCATATAGAAACTGCTAGTCTTTATTTTGACAGTCAAATATTCTATATAGGCTCCATTAAACATACTTTATATTTAAAAAACTATATGCAGTAGCGACATCTATTTAAAGCTATATCTGTGATAAAACCAATCCAAATAGTTGATATGGAAATACGCTGAGAAATGATCCTGACTACGTGTGTAATAACTGAATTGTGTAAAGTCTAATTTACATTACAAAAGTATACGCATAAAATTGGTTCCTGAACATATTCACGTGTAAATATTTAATTTTGTAATGCTTGAATTAGTTATAAGCACACAAAACTATTTCACGTTCCGTGTTATATTTTATATAAAACTTTATGATTTAATTTACATTTTAATCGTGATGTTATGAAGATTTATTCTAAATTTAAACTTTAATCGTAAAGTTTAAATTTAGAATAAGTCTTCATAAAGTGACGAGTCCTATTTTTTGAACTAAAAAAAGAAAACAAAAGAACTAAAGAATAAAAACTGAAAACTATATAGAATAAGGCCTGATTAACTTGGCAATAATTGGCTATATTCTTCTTCTTTATGAGATTGACTTGTTACCAGCATGGAACAGTGGATTTGTTGCTTAATAACCTTTTTATGAGACCTAAATAGATGGAAGGTTTAGTAGCATTTAAGAGAATGTTGAGGTTTGATGAGGATTAATGCTTTGAGGGATAGTATTACGGATTGAGGAGGAATATGATTCCTAAATTAAAAACGATATTTATATATTTGTGTGTTATTGTTTATCCAAATTTACAGAGGTTTGGATAAGGAATATCAACCAAACCAATCAACCAATATTGAAACTTTAACATACAGCAGTAGTAACTATATTATTTTAAACGAAGCTACCTCAAACCAAAGTCGCGAGCTAAACTAGGGTCTCTTCAGGATCGGCAACGTGCGCGTAACACCCTTGGTATTGCAGGCGTTCATAGGCTACAGTAACTGCTTACTATGCTGTAGGTCGTATACTTGTTTGCCACTTAAGTGGTATAAAAAAACAAGTCTACAGTTTAAAAACTCACCATAAACATCTATACACCCAATCTGCCACTTCATACTGGGTTGGGTATTAATCTGGCACATGTAACAGCCTCTGTCTTCTGCCCTGAGCGGTCTAATCCTTAACTGCCAAGTCATCGGCGCGTCCAAGTTCACTGAGTACCTTGCACCTAACACTGTTCTCTCGTGCATCGTCAGGACAGTTTGATCTTCTGCTCTTAGCCATCCCACCTGTAAAAAATATTTAATTTAAAGAGTTTTCTTTTACGTAACTCGAAATGGCAAACAAGTTGACAGCTCATTTAAAGAAAAATAATAATTGTCGTCCATAGATATAGTGGTCGTGTGGTCCCGGCATAGAATAAGACACTCCTTCTATTCCCGTGGGTGTCGTAAGAGGCGACTAAGGGATGGGCAGCAGTGTCCCTCTTAAAACATCTCCAAAGCCTAACTCCGTTTGCCAATCCGCCTGCCAAGCATGGCAACTACTGGCAAAATCCCCCAAGGGGAGGCTAATATTCAGCAGTGGACAGTTAAATGCTGATATGATGATGATGATGATGATGATAGAAATAATGGGAAGGCAATCCATTGTGGATTGTATTTTCTAGGAAATAAGGTATAATTCTCTATATTTCATACTTTGTGATTTCACTATGATATCCCATCCTTCAAATCATTACACTATAATTTAAATACAGCTTCTTGATAGCACAAGCACGAATGGAGGATTTTGTACTAGACTTATTTATTAACAATATTTGTTATTATGATTACTTAATACTAAATAGTCTAAGTTCTGCGAATTGCATGTTTATTTGCAATTTTTTTTTCAATTATAATTTGTACGCACAAGTCCAACTCACACTTGGCTGGTATTTTCTCTTGAATATCACAACAGTCGATTAGGGAAATTTGTATTAAGTTGTATGCATTACTTGAGAACATCTTGCACTTTCTACCGAGTCTACTTTTAGTCTCTCATAGAACAAACAAGTTGATGATAACGATGATGATGATGATTATAAAGAAAGTTAATTTGTAAAATATTTTATTAATATATATATAACTTATTTTTATGGCAGTCTATGGGGGAGACGTTTGTCCAGCAGTGGACGGATAATGACTGAAATGATGATCACGACGATGATTTCCTTTCATTGTTATTTTCCTTCTATTGTTTTATTTTTCTATACTAAACCGCCTTCAGATATTTCTGCACTTCCCAAAGGTTGGCTGGTAGAGACTGCCATTAGCATTGAGCCCGCCTTTTATACCACGTTTTATTGGGCAATAAAGTTTAAATAAATAAGCAAATGCAGGAGAAAAAATACTCAAAAAAATACTCAAAAAGCCACTTGATCAGTATAAATGCTAACATTCTTTTCTTATGGGTGGAAATTAGTGCCAAACACTAGAATTTTAGTTACTCGTATATTTTAAACTAACTTTTGCCCGCGACTTCGTACGGATGATTAAGATATGTTTACTGATCAAGATAAAAATTAGACTAAGTCCTTGTCCTTCCATATAGTATGTATACCAAATTTCATAGTAGAAGGTTAAGCTATTAAAGCGTTAAGAGGTAACAAACTAACTCATTTTCACATTCATTATAATTATTAAATCTTGGATTATTTAGATAGAGTAACTAGATAGAAATGCTTCGAGAAAAACGGTTTAACATTTTCATACAATTTTGAATGATAAATAATTAAGAGTAATTCCTTTATAACTTCTATATTTATTTTGTCTTATAATTATTGCATATACAATACAGTTGAATGCACCTTCATCCTCATCAGAGTAAAAATTAATGAATGAACAATAAAATTTGGTGGATATATTGTTAAATCTATTTATTATATTTTGAGAAATGAAAGGTATTGTTGTAATATTATATTTGAGCTCCGTCTCAAAATACATCATCACTTACCATCAGGTGATATTGTTATCCATTGTGGAATTCTTCATTAGTAAAAAAAAAAATATTTATGTCATTTGATGATGATGCATCATATTTGTCAGAAACAATGCATAATAAGATATTACAATTTGGCTTTTAATATTCAGTATATAAAATTAATTTTTAAAAAATTTATATTTTAATATTAATTATTAGTAATTAATTTTTGATATAGCATGGAATAAAGACTTCTTTACATTTATATGTTCTGATATAGTAATAAAAAATCATATTACATTTTACACATCATATCAGATCACATCCAGTGAAGATCCAGCTTTACTGATGCCAGCTGCGCCCAACTGCTATTTCACCCATGCATTGCATTCCTCAGGACTAAGGTGTTATACCTCTGTACCCTGTAAATTCACTGCTATATCCTATCCTTCAAACTGAAACAGCCATACAAATACAACTGCTTCACGGTTGAAACATGAATAGCACAGAGGTACAAGCAATTGACTTTGTACAAGTTTCCCTGGTAAATGGATGGATTCATTTAATTTAATTTTAAAGAGATGAAAACAGTGTTGTAAATTAATGTGATTTGTACTGAAATAACTGCAAATAGAGAGGAATAATAGAAGAAAGAATATGATGATCCAATAGATATAGGGTTAAGGCAGGAAGATAATTAGGTACTTTATAAAAATTGCAAAGCACTCGTTATTGAATTGCTCACTGACTTTATTAATGTAAATTACTTTTTTTTTTTATTTTATTATGAATTTTACTATTGAGAAATAAGATGAAAAATTTGTTAAATATATTCAATAAATATTTATTTATTAGACAGTACAATATGATACAATAGCCTTTATATCCTGAAACTCCTTTCAAATAATATTCAATATGTATGTGTGATTTATATTAAAATTTATTTTTATTTATTATAATATGTCTCGAAGTTCGGTGTGCCTCTTGATAAACGACTTCCATTACTTTCTGTCTAACTCTTTTCTGATTGTAACCAACAATTTGTTTCAGTTCATCCTGCCATTTTTTGCATTGTCGACTTCTATTTTGTTTCCCATTTCTAGGGTTAAGTCAATTAAGATTTTGCTCCATTATTTATTAGACAAACAGTTTATAGATAGAGCATTGCCATAATAATTATAACAAAATATTAAGAATTTGTGTACATATGGCATTACTATTTTTTTTATACAACTTAGAATGGTAAACAAGCTGACAGCCTACACGGCTAATGGAAAGTGGTAACCATCGCCTATAGACATGAGCAGTACCATGGACATAACAGAGTATACTGTTTCGCCCATGATACCCCCCATGCGTTGCCATTCCTGAGGACTCAGATGTTATTCCTCTGTACCCTGTAAATTCACGGCATATCCCACCCTTCAAACCGAAACACAGCCATGCAAACACTGCTTTACGGTTGAACACGAATGGGACAGAGGTACCCAAGCAAACGACTTTTGTACAATGTCTCCCTCTGGCACATACTCAAAATACATCTTATTAATTAAGATTATTTGGTCATGGGATGTCCTCTCTATTAATCTGTCCGATTGTGGAGTAAGGGCATACGGGTACGCAACCCCGGCCTCCATAGCTACTACAGTTACAAAACCTATGTCCTCTCCGTAGCTGTAGTATCCCCCATTTTTCATAAAATTATCCTATAGTTCCTTTCCACTTATCACCTCCTTTCCTTATAACCTATTCCTTTCCCAATGTAACCTATTTCCTTTCCCTATCCGATGTTAAGAAGAGCAGTTCTTTTTCAAAATGATAAGAGAAATTAAAACGCAACTACCCCAGGAGGGTACCGGCACTGCCGGAGAATCCGTCCCTGAGTGCAACTCAGGCAGTCCCATCGTATCTGGGGGGACAAATTTCTCATCGACGGCGATGCGTTATGCCACGGGTCACGTCATGTCTCCCCTGTTTCCCCAAATGGCAAAAAGAGGGCAAAGGAATGCCAAATTGCAACGATGAATGTTTGTGGAGGTATGGATAGTAAAATAGACGAAGTATGTGAGATGATGAGTGAAAGAAGAATTGATGTATTAGGAGTAAGTGAAACAAAAAAGAAAGGCTGCTCTATTACTACTTATGACCGATATACTGGGTACTGGTCTGGAGTTAATGACTCTGAAAGAAGCAGCCAAGGAGTGGGAGTTATTTTGTCAGAGAGAATGAATGCATCTGTTAAAGAATTTGAATTTGTAAGTCCTAGACTCCTCTGGATACGACTGAAAGTTGGTTTGACCCGTATTTTTCTCCTTTGCGCTTATGCCCCAGATATGTCCAAGCCACCAAAGGTCAGAGAGGATTTCTGGGATAGTGTAAGAGAGATTATGACTAAATGTAAGGAGAATGAAAGAATTATTTTGATAGGTGATTTTAATGGCTGGGTGGGAATCCGTCGCGATGGATATGAAAGGAATTTAGGAATGTTTGGAGATAAAAGAGTGAATGAAAATGGTGAAAGTTTATTAGAAGTATGCCTGGAGAGAAATCTGGTGGTGACTAATACTTTGTTTAGTCACAAACTGATTCATATGTATACATGGCAAAGGCAAACTGAGAGAAGTATGATTGATTTTGTAGTTGTGGATGAACGATTGAGAGCGAAAGTGAAGGATACAAGAGTCTATCGTGGTACGAATGTCGGACGTTTCTAACCGATCACTTTTTGGTGATATCGAGAATAGGTGGCTTATTCAATAAATGGCGACATCGTCCACGTGTTCGTATGTCAGAAATAGAAAGAGTAAGAGTAGAGAGACTGACAGAAGAACAGGTTCGAAATCAGTATCAAGAAAGATTGAATGAAAGATTTAGAGAGCTACTGAAGAAAGATAACTATGAGATAGAAGAATTTTGGAAGGAATTTAAATGCGGAATCTTTGATATAGCTACTCAAGTTTGTGGTGTAAGTAAGAGGAAGGATGTTAAGATGAGAATGAATGTATGGTGGGATGGCGAAGTGAAAGAAATGGTGGTTCTAAAGAAAAAGGCATGGATGGATTTGTTAGCTACCAGAGCTAATAAGAGAATGCAAGGTAATGTAAGTGACATTGAAAAAATTGCAAAAGAGAAGTATGATGTAATGAAAAAGAAAGTTAAAGAATTAGTAAGCAAAAAGAAAGAGGAATGTAAGGATGAGTATGAAAGGAAATTCTCTAGAAATTTTCGAGCTAATCAAAAGCTTTTCTGGCATTTAGTTCGAACAGCTAGAGGTAAAAAGAGAGATCCGAAAATGGGCGTGATAAGGGATATGGATGGTAATGTTATC